CATGATGGAAAATAAGAAATAGAGAGCTCAAAATAGAAAGATATAGAAAATTAGTGAGTAGTGATTTCACACACAATGAGATGAATCTTCTATAAATAAAAAGGATGGATGTAAATGTTTTTTTGATCTTATATATACGTGTGTGTGTGTGTGTGTATTCCTTGATAGAAAATATTTAACTATGCATCTTTTTGGGTATTTTCATTTTTTGAAATATTTGTCAATCAGAACATTCCCAGATTAAAGATAAGCTATCTAGAGAGACCAAATAAAGCACAGTACTTCAATTCTATGACATACACTTTGAATCATATTTAAAAACTTTCAGTAAGAGACATATTTAGGCAAATTAGCTTACTTTCAAAATCTATGTTTATGGTTCCTGCCTAGACATAAGGGAAATGTTATGAAATTATCAAGAATACAGCACAATCAACCAATGAAGCTTCTAGACAGAACTGTCTTCTGGATCGAGTTTGTCCTGCGAAATAAGGCAGCCAAACACCTGAGGCCAGCATCCCAAGACCTTACCTGGGTCCATTACCACTCCTTGGATGTGACTGGGTGCCTGCTGGCCTGGGTGCCAACCCCTATGTATGTCGTCAGAAAATATCTGTTTTGTTGCCACAAGTTAGTAAGAAAAGGAAAGCTTAAAAGTGACTAGTTACCTTTGAGTTCTTGGCTGGTTTGTCTCACAGATGGGGCTACTCTAGCTGATTACTGCAAGAAATTGTATACCCTTGGCTTTTTCTTCTAATTTCACTTCTCAGATCAAGATTTGTTTTTGAGAGATTTACTAACCTCATTGAGATGTCTCTCTCACTACTTGGACTTTGAGTTTCTTTTACTTCATCCCATGCTGCTCCAAAGATTGCCACCCCACAAGGTGACAAAAGGGGTCTTCTCAATCACTCAAGGAAAAACTGAAGGAGTTTGCAAAAACTAAACCCACCTCACACAGCAACCAAAACTGATTAATCAAGTAATTTTAAAAAACTGAACTTACAGATACTAGTAATAAAATCGAAGTAGTAAACAAATCCTCCACAAAGCCAATGTCCAGGGCCAGGTAGTTTCACTGGTGAATTCTCCCAAACATTAGAGCAACCTACTCACACTTTTCTTATGAGACCAGAATGACCCTGATACTAAAACCAGATAAAGATACCACAAAAAGAGGAAATGATAGGCAATATCTCTGATGAATAAAGATGGAAATATCCAAAAAGAAAATGCCAACAAGTTACATTAAAAATAGCATGATCAACTGGGAGTTATTCCAGAAATGAAGTATGGCTCAACATCTGCAAATAAGTCAACATGCTATAATCCATCAACAAATAGATGTATAAAAATGATATGATCACCTCATTAGGTGCAGAAAAAGTACCTGATATAGCTCAACATCTACTTGATTAAACACTCTCAATAAAGTGGGAAAATTAAGGTCATATGGCAGGACACAGTCAAAGTGAAAAACTGAAAACTTCTTTTAAGAAGAAAAACAATAAAAGAATGCTCTCTTGCCACTTTTATTCAACGTGTTATTACAAGTCACAACCAGAGCATTGAGGCAAGGAAAAAATGCAAAGTCATTCAAGTTGGAAGGGGGAAGTAAATCTGTCATGATTTTTAGATAACATGATCTGATTCATAGAAAAACCTTTTAGAAAATATTAATGAATTCCGTGAAGTTGCCTGAGACAAAACCAACATACAAAATTTTGTTGTTTCTACACAAAAATAACAAACAATCAGAAAGAAAAATTAACAAAGCAGTTTCACTTGCGGCTCCATCAAAAAAGAATAAAATATGAGAGAAAAAGTTTAACAGAGTAAAGTAAATGCATACTAAGAACTCAAAGGAATTGATGAAAGGGAAATAAGGCACCCAAAATGGTAGGATTCTATGCTCAAGGAATGGAATATCAATATTAGTAAAATGTCCATAGGCTTTGTTGTTATTTGTAAGAAAGCTTTGCCTCTCAATGTCACTGGGATTTACTAAATCTTTCTTAAGGGCATTTTATCATTACCTATCTATCTATGAAAAGAGTTTACCTGGTAGTGAAACCACCAGATCTTACTTTAATACAATGAGAAACCTCTACGTTGTTTTCCATAGGTGGTGGATCTGTCTACATCTCCACCTACTGTATATGAGAGTTACTTTTTTTTTTTTTTTTAATTCACATCCTCTTCCTCACTTGTTGTTTCTGGTATTTTTTTATGGACCACTCTCACAAGTGTGAGATGGTATCCTAGTGTGATTTCAATTTTCATTTCCCTGATGATAACAATGAAGAGCATTTTTCATGTATCTGTTAACTATTTCTGTGTCTTCTTTGGAGAAATGGCAAGTTAACTCTCTGTCTGCCCTTTTTGGGATTGGGTTAATTGTTTTCTCTTTATTGAGTTGGAGGAGTGGTTTACATACTTTGGAATATTAGTCCTTTTTCAGATATATGGCATGCAAATATTTTCTCCCTTTGAGTATGGTATCATTTTGTTTTAATGATAGTTTCTGTTACTTTTAGTTTGATGTAATTCCTTCTTTCACATTTGCTTTGTTTTCCCTGACTTTGTAGACAAATCCCCCAAAACATCTCTGAAGCCATGTCCTTGAGAGTTTTGTCCACTTTTCCTTAAACAATGGAATTTGAATCAGCTATTACAAAATGATTTTTTGCCATTTGTGACAATTTGAATGGAACTAAGCAGGATAATCCTAATCCTAAGTAAAATGATTCAGGAGAAAGACAAGTACAGATGATTTCATTTATAAGTGTAACATACGGAAATGAAAAGAAGGATAACACAAAACAAAGCCAATAACAAACTCTTGCCATCTGACTGCAAAACTGAAACAACCAGAAAGGGAGTATGGAGGGATGGGAAACTGGAAGGTAGGGAGTCCAATATAACATGTTATATCAACAGGATTGTTGGGTCTATGGTGGAGGGAATGGTGTGAAAACATCTATTTGAGGATGCTTGAATCAATAGCCCCTAAATGAATTCAATGTTGTAAACCAACTTCAAATCAATGAATGTAATTGGTGGGAACAAAATGTGTAAATACATACAGATCAATTTTAAATACTATTAGAGTCTAGAAATCAGTCTTATGATCAATGGATTCCTTTTTTTTATTTTTTTTTTTTGACAAGAGTACAAAGCAATTCAGTAGGAAAAGCATAGTCTTTGCAAGAAATGGTGCTAGGAGACACCTGGATATCCATAGGCAAGAACAATTTTGAACACTGCTGTTCAACCATACCTAAAAAAACTAACTAAAAAATGGATAAAGTACGTAACTGTGTCAGCTGAAATGATAAAGTTCCCTTAAGAAAGTTTTAGCAACGCTAGTGACATTGAGAGGCAAAGCTTTCTTACAAATGAAAATAAAACACACCAAGAAAGTGAAGAAAACCCACAAATAGAAATCATTAAAGAACTTTTTTTAAAGATTGTATTTATTTATTTATACAAGAATGGGGTACAGGCCAGATATGCAGGAGGGTAGAGGATTCACCAGAGACAGGGCAGGGAACAGAACAGGCAGACTGACGAAATACACTGTTGAGGGGAGCAGCGGTGAGACAGGAGTGGTCTGCTGCACCATGTGGGACCATCGCGGCAGGGCGGGATGGAACCACCACTGCAGAGGCTGTGGGCAGCTTCACAGTGTGGTGCTCAACCGCCTGGGCCACCAGGGGATGCCCCGTTAAGGAACTTCTATCTAGGACAAATAAAGAAGTATTACAACTTAGTAATAAAAACTACAAGGTAATTTAAATAAATAAATGGTTATATCATTATAAATGTTTCATTTATAATAAATTTACCCTACATTGCCTCTCCTCTTAACAAGTATTTATGGATAACTAAATTTCAATGTGAAAGCAACTGTTAAGAAGCACCAAAAAAAGCTAATATTCTCTGAAATTTCATGACAGACATTTATTTATTTGTTTGTTTATTTTTAGGTAACATTGAGTTGCAACATTGTATATGATCCAAGCTAATAGGTTATCTTGTCAAAAGAACATATATTGTATGATTCCATTTAATGTTTTTGGGTTTTTTTTAGATTATTTATTTTTATACAAGAACCTGGGTACAGGCCAGATGCACGGGAGGGTGAGAGGATTCACCGGACACAGAGCAGGAATAGAACAGGCAGACTGAAGACATACACTGCTGAGGGGAGCAGCGGGCGACACAGGAGGAGTCTGCCTCGCCACGTGGGACCCTCGTTGGCGGGCGGGATCCAACACACACTGCAGAGGCTGCGGACTGCTTCACAGTGTGGCGCTCAACGCCTGCGCCACCAGGGAGGCCCTGCGTGATACCATTTAGAGAAATTGTTCAGATGACACAAATCTATAGAGACAAAACCACATGATTCTTGGCTAGAATAGGAGAGACACAGAAATTAGGCAGATCCAGCCAAGGCATAAAGGCTTCTTTTGGGAATGATAAAATTCTCTGAATTTAATATCATGGAAGCTGCAAAATTCTCTGCATATACTACAAAGGACTGAATTCTACATTTTAAATCAGCAAATAAGTGGTATTAGAATTAAATATTAAGAAAGCTTTTATAAAACCAAACAAAACTATCTCTTAAACAACGATTCCAAGTCAATTGGAACTGGTTGCACAAGAGTTTTCTCTTTATTTCTTCTGGCAGCAGAAGGCAGCCAGTCATCACCCCCTTTCCATTGTTCTTGATACGCTTCTAAAATATATTGTGTATTTTAGGTGATTTACACTTATAAGGTCATTAACTAGAGAAATTGGACCTATTTGTCTACAAACAAGGTCATGTGCTTTTGCTTTGTTCACATGCCACTCCAATAGCCTGATTGTTAACATATGATGACTTTGAGTGTGGCAGTTATAGTTTAACTTTCTGGTTGATTTCTCCAGCATATAAATGTGAGCAACTCCAAAAGGAGAAAACAATTTTAAAAGCAGCTTCACATTTCACCAGGATGTCTATGAAATGGACTTCAGCTCTCCTGCTGCTTCAACTGGCTTGTAACGTTAGCTCTGGGAGTTGTGGAAAGGTGCTGGTGTGGCCCACTGAATACAGCCATTGGATGAATATAAAAACAATCCTGGATGAACTTGTTGAGAGAGGTCACGAAGTGGTTGTTCTGACATCTTCAGCTTCCATTCTTATTGATCCCAACCAACCATCTGCCATTAAATTTGAGATTTATCCTACATCTATCTCTAAAAATGATTTTGAAAGTGCTTTCAAAGCTATACTGGATGCTTGGACATATGATCTGCCTAAAGACTCCTTTTGGTCATACTTTGCAAAAGTACAAAATATCCTTTGGAGTTATTTTGATGTTATTCAACAGTTTTGTGCAGATGCAGTCAAGAACAAGAAACTAATGAAAAAACTCCAAGAATCAAGATTTGATCTCATTCTTGCAGATGCCATTGGACCCTGTGGTGATCTGCTGGCAGAGATGCTTAGAGTACCTTTTGTGTACACTCTACGCTTCACACCTGGATATGAATTTGAAAAGCATGTTGGAAAACTTCCAATCCCACCTTCCTATGCACCTGTTGTTTTGTCAGAATTAAGTGATCAAATGACATTCATGGAAAGGGTAAAAAATGTGATATATGTGCTCTACTTTGACTTTTGGTTCCAAACAATAAATCACAGGAAGTGGAATGAGTTTTACAGTGAAATACTGGGTAAGTCATGTTTTTAGTTGGTAGAGTTATGTCTTACCTTCCAGTATCTTGGAAGGTAATTTTTATAATTATATGGTCAAAGGGATTTGTCCATTATGAGTAAGTGATGATTGTTAATAAGAATGATCACTCAATCTCAAAACTATTATGGAAAAGTTTATATTACAGGATAAATTGGAACCCTGTGTTCCATGATTATTGTAAGACACCTAAGGGATTCAAGAAACTCAAACTAAATACTGAGTATTTCTTGCCATATCATATCCAGTCTTGCTTATCGCTTTGAAACCTTGCTCATTTTAAACAGAATTTTTAAGTCCACAGCAATATTGATTGCACTTTTTGCATATAATCTCTGCATACATTGATGAGTAGTTCCCCATTATCAACATTTCAAGAGAAGTGGTTCACTTTTACAGCTGATAATCCTATACACCACATCATTTAAACTTCACCTTCCTCTGTAATGGTGTTGTACATACTATGGATTTTGACAACTTCTAATAATATGTATTGACCTTTATTATAAAATACAAAGTAGTTTCACTACTAATAAAAATCCTCTATGTTGTACCTTTTTATCCTACATATTCATGAAATACACTATTATTCATCATAGAGAAAGACATTAGAAATTTTATTAACTAATCAAAACAGACAGTAGATGTTACATGTTTCTGGCAAGCATTCCATGGAGTATAGAAGAGACTGTTTCTTCTGATTTTTTTCTCAGTCTATTTATATGAAAAATCAGCTCTTTTCCCATATATTCTGGAGAACTGTTTTTAACAATAAAGAAATAGTGGCACTATCAAAAACTCAGGCCTATAATTTGAATTTTTGCAATTACTACACATTCTAAGTGCTTACAAATCATCCCATCGAAAGCTTAAAATCTGGCTGTGACATGGAGATAGAAGTTTCTAGCCTTTTTGAGAACTGTGCTTCTCATCAAAGAGACAGTGAACAAAATTAAGATCACCACTTATTTTTCCATATATCTTAAAAATTTCCAGTTTTGATTTGCTGTTATCATTAATTCTTTGAAAAATGTCATTAAAATTCTAACATGAGCCAAATACAGTAGTAAGTACAATAAATCAAAATGAACAGCTTAATAAGGAAAACTGATTCAAGGAAAAATGTTTCTAACTGTAGAAACTCAACTTACAAGGAAAAGTGGTTCCATTTGTTAATCGATGGAGCTCAAATAATAAAGTACATTTTACCTCTGCTACATATGCAGCTTTACAAATTAAACAACTGCAAGCTTAATTCCATGTTTATTTAGGTTGAGTAATCATTTGTGCTCATGAATGTGCTAATGTAATATGAGAGATAAAAGTGTTGACATACAAATTGTTCCAACAACAAAATCCATTTATCCAGAAACAAAAATCCCAAAAAGAGTGCACCAAAAATGGTCCTGATATATCAACATATACACTTTGACAGTGTATTTGAGAAATGCATAAAAAGGTTCATAACTCTCTGTATGTCTTTGGAAGGACATCCACTCAGTCTTGCCAGAGGGTGAAGCAACCTGAATTCCTCTGGGAGAAGTAAGGCCCCTGTGAAATCCTGTACTTGCTGATGGACACATTCAGGGGCACAGACTTTCTAGGCCCTTGACCATTTAATTGACCTTATATAAGTTTGTTAAATAGAATACATATAAAATAATAGTGTTCATTTATTTTGCACAAAAGTATCGTAAGCGTATATGTAATCTATACATATTTACATAGGCATAACAAGTACATTTTTATATATTAAATTTTTATCATATGTAGCTTTCCTATACTACACACATGGTACATATACTGGTATTATCAGACCACAAACAGTTTTACGTCTTTGTCTACACCATTCCAAGCCCCTTTAAGAAACTTACCAGGTATTTAAATTAAAATATACTCATTTCCTTTACCTTTGTTTATTTCCCTTCCAGGGAGACCCACTACATTAGCTGAGACCATGGGGAAAGCTGAAATGTGGCTCATTCGAACCTACTGGGATTTTGAGTTTCCTCGCCCATTCTTACCAAATTTTGAGTTTGTTGGAGGACTCCACTGCAAACCTGCCAAACCCCTGCCTAAGGTAACCTGGTACACTGTTTTGCTTTTTCTTGCTTTGAAGCTCTTCACTAATATTTGATATTACAAGGAACATCACTCCTAAAAAAGAAAAATTTCCATCCCAACAATATTTGCAGCCAACCCCATTTGTTTCCCGCTGTCACTGTAGCAACTGCTCATTTGATATTCAAGAGTTTGACATCTTAGAGCACCTACTAAACAGGTCTTTCTTGCCACACCACAAGTCTGTACAAAATCTTGTCCAAGACTTACAGAACGATGGCTGACAAAATAAGCACAGAGAAAAGGCACACTGCATATATAAGAAAGACCATCAATTCTGCATTTTTGTTCAACACTGGATAATTTCTACCATCTAGTATCTGAAAACTGCCCTTAGTATAAAAATGAAAAAGAAATATGTTAGCGTAAAGATGATATTCTTTATGAAGGAAAACAAAAGCTAATACATTCTAAATTGATATCATTTCAGGCAAAATTTAAAAACAATCCTTTACGAAATAATTTTATGAACTTTTCGACATCCTGTTTGCTTGGGTAGCAACATAAAATGACGATAATATTCAAGGCTTATACTCTCACCAAATTGAATTACAAATATTAACTATGTAAAGAATCTTTCATACGCTCTAGAGCCTGATGTATAATTTTCCTTCAACAAAACTTCATTTTTTTAACTTTATTGTGGTATGAAGGATATGTAAAACTGTAAGACTTTTAAAGTATAAACCGTTATTACTTAGCTTACATATATATTGTAAGAGGTTTCCCTTATGTGCTAATTAACACATTCATCACTTCACAAATGAGAATTTGTGTGTGTGTGTGTGTGTGTGTGTATGCACTCCAGCCCATTCATGAATGCTGATTAAAGAACATCTGTAATTGCAAGTTTTATCTTTGTTAAACTGACTCTTACTTGATACTTACATAGGAATATGTTACCTCCTCCTTCAAATTGAGACCTCCTTAAGCTTAGAAAGGTGCCATTCATGGTTTGTTTTTTTTTTGCAAAATTCAGTAAGGATTCTTCCACATAGGAGACACTCAATTTGCTGTCCTTTTTTAATCAAGTTGTGTCCTTTTTTTTGTTTGAGTCAGTTATGTTTAGACATCAATCCCTTGTCTGATATATAGTTTACAAATAGCTTGAATATAATAATGGTTTTCTTTTTCATTTTGCCATAGAAGATTTTAGATCTATATAGTCCATTTGTTAATATTCTTTTTTGAGTCCTTTGTTATAGGAGACAAATCCATAAAGACATCACTGAGGTCAATGTCAGAGAGATTATAATTTGTTTGTTTTCTATGTATCATATGGTTTCATTTCTTATATATTTACTATCTTGAATGAAATTTTGTATATGGCCTAAGATATTGGCGTGGATTCATTCTTCTGCATATTGCTGTCCATTTTCTCACACCATTAGTTATTTCCTTTCCCCCTTGTTCTTTTTTATATTATTTTTTATTATTAATTTAATATATAAAATTAATATTATTAATTTATTAATTTAAATACCTTATTTTATATAATTCTTACATCTTTTTTCATCTTTGCACAATGTATGCATTTTCATTTTGGTTATATTCCCCATACAAGTGCACCCCCCCTTATTTTGACTCTAGTCCTTCCTTTCCCCACCGCCCCCCAGTAGTGTGTCTCTGTTTGTTTTTTTTTTCTTCTTGAAATTTACTATTTTTTCATTTAAATATTTTATTTTATATAATTCTTACATCTTTTTTCATCTTTGCACAATGTATGCATTTTCATTTTGGTTATATTCCCCATACAATTGCACCCCCCCTTACTTCGACACTAGTCCTTCCTATCCCCTCCATCCCTCCTCCCCTCCACCGTAGTGTGTCTCTGGTTTATAGTTGCTTCTTGATTTTGATTTTTACTTTGTATTGATTAGTCTTTTTCCTGATCTCCTATTTAAGTTTTCTAAATTCCTGCTATGAGTGAGACCATCCGGTATTTTCTTTTTCTGACTTATTTCGCTGAGCATGATCCCTTCTAGCTCCATCCATGTTGCTGCAAACTGCATGTGTTTATCTTTTTTGACTGCTGAGTAATATTACATGGTGTATATGTACCACATCTTCTTGATCCAGTCATCTTTTTTGAGCATTTGGGTTGTTTCCATAGCTTAGCTTTGTAAATAGTGCTGCTATAAACATAGGGGTGCAGGTACCCTTTGAAATTACTGTTTCTGTGTCATTTGGGTAAATACCTAGGAGTGGAATTGCTGGATCATATGGAAGCTCTATGTTTAGTAGGTCAAGAAATCTCCACACAGCTCTCCGTAGTGGTTGGACCAGTTTGCACTCCCACCAACAGTGCAGAAGAGTTCCTTTTTCTCCACAACCTCGCCAACATTTGTTGTTGCTAGATTTTTTAATATGTGCCATTCTCACTGGTGTAAGATGGTGTCTCATTGTAGTTTTGATTTGCATTTCCCTGATGACAAGTGATGTTGAACATTTTTTCATATGCCTGTTGGCCATTTGCATTTCCTCTTGGGTGAAGTTTCTTTTTAGCACTTCTGCCCATTTTTTGACTGGATTATTTTCTTTGTTTTTGTTGAGTGTCATCAGCTCTTTGCAGATTTTTGTGATCAGTCCTTTAATGTTAGTTTGTGTGCAAAAATGTTCTCCCAGTCGGTGGGGTTTCTCTTTGTTTTGGTTATTGTCTCTTTTGCTGTGCAGAAATTCTTTAATTTGATGTAGTCCCAGCTGTGTATCTTTGCCTTACTATCACTGCTTTGGGTGATGTGTCTGTAAAGATGTCTTTGATGTGCATATCACGTAGTGTTTTGCCTATATTTCCTTCTATATATTTTATGGTTTCAGGTCTTATGTCTAGTTCTTTAATCCATTTTGAGTTGGTTTTTGTGTATGGTGTGAGGTAGTGGTCAAGCTTCATTCTTTTGCATGTAGCGACCCAGTTTTCCCAGCACCATTTATTGAACAAACTTTCTTTGCTCCAATGCATATTCTTTGCTCCTTTGTCAAAGATTAGTTGACCATAAATCTGTGGGTTTATTTCTGGATTTTCTATTTGATTCCATTGGTCTGTGTGTCTGTTCTTGTTCCAATACCATGCATTTTTGATGATTATGGCTTTGTAGTATAGTTTGAAGTCCTGACGTGTGATAACTCCATTCCCTTCTTTTTTTCATACTTTCTATAACTCTCACACTGTCATTAATGTACTTCCAGTGGAATGAGGAGAGTTACCTACATCTAGTTACACACCACACATTCTAATGACACATCAACTTTACAATATGAATTCAGAGTAAAGGTGTTATAAGTAAAAAAGACTGGTTAATACAGACACTTGGATGATAACTTTACATATATCATTCTGGATGATACACAAGACTCTCAACGATTATTTCTTAGAAAACCAGAGTTCTGAATATTTGCAGTGACTAATGGTCAAACATTAAGAAATTATTTAGGGGCCTCCCCTCATAGCACAGGGGATTGAGTGGCGCACTGTGAAGCTGTCAGGAGCCTCTGCAGCGATGGTTCAATCCTGGGTGGCCAGCGAGGGTCCCACATGGTGTAGCAGACCTCTCCTGTCATGCCTGCTGCTCCCCTCAGCAGTGTACTTCATCAGTCTGCCTGTTCTGTTCCCCCCTCTGGCTCTGGTGAATCCTCTCACCCTCCCGCGCATCTGGCCTGTACCCCGGTTCTTGTATAAATAAATAAACAAATAAATCTTTAAACAAAAAACAAAAAAAAGAAAATAAATTATTGTGGTGCAGTATTGGGGAAAATATGACAAAATTTATGGAAAATATTGAAGGGATATAGGACAGAAAGACATATACAGTCATGCATATAATTAACATTCTTATTGCTCATATAGGGAAATAAAATATCAAAAAGCCAAATAAACTAATTCCCTAGGAAATGAATTTAGAATAAATACAAGTGATTAGTTCACTGATATTGATAAGGAATTACAGAGTTAATATCTTGCTGTGTGTCTTCTTTCCAGAATCTACATTAGCAATTCTAATGGTGTGAATGAAGAGCCTGGGTCTATATTGTCTAACAGCTTATCCTCTTCACTGCTGTGTGCTGCCCCTCATAAATTACTCGTACTAGTAATAACAAGTGAGGGTTCCTCCAAACTGAAAATAGAACTACCATATGGCCCAGCAACGCCACATTTGGGTATACATCAAAGTACTTAATTCAAAGCAAGATCTCAATTAGTTTGCTGCATATCCATCCTCATAGCAACTCTATTCACAGCAGTGGAAACAACCCAAGTATACAAAGACCTGAGTCAACAAACATAATGCTGTTCACACACAAGGTTCTATGAACTTTGAGCATACAATGCTGAGTGAAATGGGCCATTTAAAATATGACAATTACTTAAATGATTCCAATTATATGAACTCTAGAGGAAGCAAATCCATAGAAAAAGAGTACAGTGATGGTTACCAGTGGCTGGTAAAGGGTCAAAGGGAGATCTATTATGTAATGCCTAGAGAATTTCAGTTTTGCAAGAGGAAAAATGTCTGCAGATTGTACAACCATGGGAAGATACTTACACCACTAAACTAAAATCTTAGATATTATCAAAAAGTAAATGTTATGTTATATATACTTTGCCACTTTTTGTAAAAGGCACTGTTCTAGTAATTTCTAAAGTCCATGATGGTCTCTCCTTAGCTATTTGAGCAATCCTTCTAGTACGGTTGCTGTGCTGTTGCTCTTTTGTGATGCAGCAAATTTTTCCTTCACAGGAAATGGAAGAGTTTGCACAGAGCTCTGGAGAAAATGGTATTGTGGTGTTTACTCTGGGCTCAATGGTCAGTAACATGCCAGAAGAAAGAGCGAATGCAATTGCATCGGCCCTATCCCAGATTCCACAAAAGGTTAGATAAAGTATCTTAATATTGGACAACTAAATGTGACCATTAACTCTGCAGTGGATGTGGATTTATGCATGAATGGTAAATTATGAAGATAACTCTGCTTTCTTGCTGACATAAGCTCAAACCAAAATATACATGGCAGGTGTTAACACAGTAAGAAGTATGTTTCATGTGGCATTACTGTTAGGGTTGAAATTAAATGTAGGTAAGAGGCACAGAGTGAAGATTTGCTATTATAATGGTATTGTGTGAAGATATTGGAAACAGAAATTCTACACTGTCATTTGTTACTTTTGCAAGAATTCTGAGTGCAGGGTACATAACCGATGTTATCAGAAAGGATTAAATTTTAACTGCAACCTGAAGCAGAAAAGCAATAAAGTTTGAAGGCATCATGCAATTTGGGCTTCTCAGTAATTCAGGCATCTTTCCCCTAAAACTTTTGGAACTAGCCTGTTTGGGGTACTGGTCATGGCACTATTCAGATGAACAATGGCCAGGCTTCACAAGCTATTTCCACATATACTCTAGCCAGACACAGTGACTAAGAATATGAAGAAGAGGATATTATAAGGTGAACCCTACATCACCTGGGCAGGAAAAATGGTACCTCTACTCGTGAGACATACAAGTAATTTCCTTTCCATTTTATAGAACACACCTCATTCTCTGTGTCTTTGTGGAGTATTGTTAGTTTTCTACTGGAACAGCTTCTACTTAGCGCCTGAGCTAAATTTTTGCCAGAATCAGAAGTTGCTTTAAAAATGCATAGCAAAACTATGTAAAACACTTGTAAAGTATAATGCAAGTTAAGAGTTTGGCTGGGGAATTCCAAAATCAGAATCACTGTTAATAGCGGTGGAAATCCTGAGTTATAGGTCTCATGTTAATCAATGTTGTTGATGCCATGTAGTCCTCACTGATATATTAACAACCAGTAAAAAAAAAAAAATTAATATTTCACAATTTTGGTTTATTTCACCATCTCTGCTGTTATTTAATATAGCCAGCAGGCTCCTCTTTTCTCCATTTAAGAATTTCCAAACTGAAAGCAGAAATAACACTCTAAGTTAGAGTGAAATATTACCTCTTGAAATTTTTCCTATTATCGGTACCAAAAATAAGTTACTGTATTTTCTACCAGAGAAAATTTGTAATACACGGAATTATTTAGTTCTCTGAATAAGTAGAGTGGATAAATTAGCCTTTTGCATATAAAAAGATGTAAAGTGCCATAAAATAAATTATGGAACAAGTAGACATAAGTAAACGTCATTCTGTGACACACAGAAGAAAGAAATACTGAAATGCCACACTGGAAGATGACAATTATATAATAAATAGATAAAAACAAGTAAGTGTGAAGATTGTAGCAATGTCCTGTTCTTTCTGCCCTAAAATTATACTGACTAAATATCTCTGAAATACTTGAATTGATCCAATATAGACAAATATTTGTCTAATACAGACACCACAATGTGTGAAACATCATGATTGTATCCATTCTTGAATGAATATTAATGCCAATGTGGTCTATCTATTATTCCAGTTTTAATAGTATACTCATATTTAATGCCTCTTTTCCTATTGCATACCTTGAGAAATGCACCTAACTAGATTATTCCTTATTTGTGCAGAATTCAAACATGCTCTAATATTGAAATCCAACTACTGAAATAAGATATTTTCTTTACCTTAACAGGTTCTATGGAGATTTGATGGCAAGAGGCCAGATACCTTAGGGGCAAATACACGACTGTATAAGTGGATCCCTCAGAATGACCTTCTTGGTAAGACTCTGGAAAGCAAACACTGAAATAAGGGTAGCTACAAGCAGAGTGCTTTTTCACAAGGAAAGAAATAATGGAACATTGTTATTGCATAACATGAATATAAAATTTAAGTGCTTTATTTTTATATTGCAGTCTTACGTGGAAAACAATAAGATCTAACTTTTGGAAATTTATGATTAACATAAATTTCATTTATGATAAAAATAAATTTCATTTCAAACATAAAATTCATTTCTTATGGCCATAATCAAAATATCTTTATTTCAAGTGTAATTCTCAGAGAGAATTTTATAAAAACTATGAGGATTATTCATTTTTTTTCCTTTTCTTTTTTTAATATTTATTCATTTATTTATACAAGCACTGGGTATCGTCAGAAGTGCAGGAGGGTGAGAGAGTTTACCAGAGCCAGAGCAGGGAACAGAACAGGCAGACCGACAAAATACACTGCTAGGAGAGCAGCGGGCCAGGCAGGAGAGGTCTGAGCGCCATGTGTGACCCTCGCCGGCGGCCGGGGATCGAACCGGTGCTGCAGAGGCTGCAGGCAGCTTCACAGCCCAGTGATCAACTGCTGCGCCACCAGGGGAGACCCTGGATTATTCATTTTTTCACTCAAATTTTAGTAATTTGTCAGCTGTTTACACTTCGTACAATTTGGGGGATAGATTCTCCCACCTGCTTATATGCACATGCTTCACTCACCCCCACCAACACACCCCCATCCTTTTCTACCCCTGCCTTCCTCCCTCCCCTCATTACCACTGGAAACGAGTATGTTTTTCACCTGGATTATCCGCCGCCTAGTTCTCCCACCTTATTTCTACCTTTTCCCTTCTATACCAGTATTAAGTGACAATGAAAAACAATAGTACCTCTTTTATTACCAGTGACTCTAAAGGAAATTAGATTTTAAAAATTCTCTAATTTTTATAGGAAATAACCATAGCATTAAAATATCTCATTGTCATCTTTTCTTCTGATGACTCCAGTGTCACCAGAGTCAAACTTCCTGCAAACTTGATGTCTGCATATTTGAACTAGTGATTTCACTCTTTGTTTCATGGACTATGTCCTAATATGTCATCTTTAGTTCTTTATTTCTCACAGGCAATTTTTTTAATCCCCGTTGTTCTTATGAATGTGTTCAATGCCAAATTTGTTCACCCACAATCATACAACATTGCTAATTTACTTCTCTGAAAGGTGAAAAAGCTTCTTACTCTGAGATCTGAAAACCTTCATGAATTTTATATGTAATCTGTTATCTACACTATCATGAAACTTTCAGTGCCATATATTACCATAATCTCACTTTATCTCTCAGACTTGTAGTTAATAATATTCTGAAATCTGTGCTCAATTTTAGGTCATCCTAAAACCAAAGCCTTCATAACCCATGGTGGAACCAATGGCATCTATGAGGCGATCTACCATGGTGTCCCGATGGTGGGCATTCCCCTGTTTGCAGATCAACCTGATAATATTGCTCATATGATAGCAAAGGGGGCAGCTGTCAGAGTGGACTTTGACAAACTGTCAAGTACAGACTTGCTCAACGCATTGAAGAAAGTCATTAACGACCCTTCGTGAGTATCACAATTTTTTAATGAATAGTATTTATACACCGGTCCTTTTGTCACCAATAAATTTGAGTTTCACATTTTTATATATTAATTATGAAACTATCAGTATGATATTACCACCAGAGATCAAATATTTTTCAAGTAGACATTTAGTTTTTTTTAAATGTATTTTTTTGTTGTGCTTTAAGCAATCTTGTTTATTTTTTCACGATATAGGATTTCTTCCCTCAGGTGTGACCACTATTGTTTTCCCACTGCTTACAGTCCTCTACCATGCTGTGCTCTCTTCCCCACCTTTTCTCTGCTCTATGCCTCTCCCTCCCTTTCCCTGCTTGAGCAGAGGCACATTTAATACAGCCTGGTGCAGGAACAAAAGCACACAGACCAACAGAATGGATTTGCATGACCAGAAATAAACTCACATATATATGCAAGTTAATCTAGGACAAAGGAGTCAAAATTATACACCAGAACAAGGAAATCCTCTTCAACAAGTGGTGTTGGGGAAACTGGACAACTACATGCAAGAAAATGAAACTAGACCACAATCTCACACCATATACCGAAATCAACTCAAAATAGATTGAAGACTTGGATGTAAAGTCTAAAACAGTAAACTACAACGAAGAGAATATATACAAAACATTTCATGAGATATGCTTCAGTGATGACTTTAGCGATTCATCCCCAACAACAAAGGAGAAAAAGAACATAAACATCTAGCAACACATCAAACTAAAAGGCTTCTGCACAGTGAAAGAAATCACAACTTGAACGAAAAGACAGCCTCCTGAGTAGGAGAAAATGTTTGCATACCATACATCAGGCAAAGGACTGATTTCAAATATAGACAAAGAACTCATAAAACTCTACAAAAATAAAATAAGTAAGCCAATCAAAAAATGGGCTTAACAGACACCTCTCCAAAGGAGACATTAAAATCCCACCAGGTTCATGCAAAAAGGCTCACCATTACTTATTATTAGGTAGTGCAAATCAAGAGCACAATGAGATACCATCTTACACCTGTCAGAATGGACATACTGGGCTGGCAGGGGGTGGGAAGAAACAGAAATAAGTGCTGGCAAGGATGTAGAGAAAAAGGAACACTCCTAACTACTGGAGGGAATGCAAACTAGTCCTGCCGTCATCGAAAGCAGAATGTAAGTGCCTCAAAACATTAAACATGGATATGCCATTTGACCACAGTGAATCCATTCCTAGGAATCTATCAAAAAATTTCAAAATCAGACAACATGCCAGAATAGAGAGGCTGAGATCAATTTCTCTACTAAAAACAACTTAAAAAAAAAAAAAGGACTGATAACAAGCTCTTAGCAAACCCTCGGAGCTCTGAACAAGCTATATCACATGAGCAATTTTCCTGGATGCCCAAGAATCAAAAAGGGGCCAAAAAAAGGAGTCCATTCTCCATGGGCTGTATGGAGAAGCCCATTCCCAAGCTGGCCAACATCTTTGAGCATAATCCGAAACTCCTTGTACCCCATCCCATAGCTGGAATCTTCAGGTGAGCAACTTAGATCTCAGCACCAGCCACCAGCTCCAAAGGTGCAGACACATTCTTCCTTTTTTTTTTTTTTTCTTTTCCCTGCGGCACAACTCGAGAGTAACCTACTCAGCCCTCTGGCGCCACCTACTGACCAGATCCAGAATACCAGCCTCTAGCACTTCTGGAGCAGAGAGAACTTGAAAGGCCAGGCACCAGCCACACCACTCAACATGCCCATGTCCCCAAGCAGATCAGGCCACAATTGGAACCTTACAGTTGCTGCTCCCTGCATTGGGGATCCGCAGCTGGCTTCAGTGACACCAGGAAGTGTGTCCCACTCAGCCTGCTGCACCCAATAGCCGACAAGGCCAGAGCTGAGCTTGTGATGCCAGGCCCTATATCGGGGACCTTTGGATACACCAAGCGGTCTGGTCGACAGAAACCACAGGAGCCCCTGTCCCCACAGCAGGCCAGACAGTGTACAGATCCATTCACACCAAGGTAAGAGTACTGGGATGTCCAACTGGCTAGCAGCAGCAGTCTGGTGAACAGGTGCCATGGGAAACCCAGCCGCCAAACCCACCCAGCTGCCACAACAGCCCAAGCAGCATGGAGATCCATCCACTGGACATCAGAAGATGTTTGGTAGGCGATACCCAAGGGGAGAGCAACAGGAGAACTGCCCAACCTCCATCCACCACCCACAGTGGCCCAAGCTCCAAGCAAATCCATACACGCCTTGGTAAAAGCACACAGAAATCATGCCAGTGGGCACTAGCAGCCACATGGCCCTATCCCAAGAACAAACATGAAAGCAAACAATGAGGAGAAAGAAAACTACCAGTGATCAAACCAGCCATCCTAGGAACAATGCACCACAGAAAGAAAATCAGCTTCCAGAACACAACACTTACATGGTAGAATTTCTCTGTGACGGATAAAGAATTCAGAGTCATCTTCATTAAAAAACTAAAAGAAGTAGGCCTCCTGGTGGCACAGGGGTTAAAGTCTCAGCACTATTAAGTTATTGGCAGCCACTGTGGCATGAGTTTGATCCCCAGCCAGGGACCTGACCCACATGGTGCAACAGACCTCTCCTGTCTCGCATGCTGCTCCCCTCAGCAGTGTATTTCAGTTGATCTGCCTATTCTGCTCCCCACTCTGTTTCTGGTGAATCCTTCTGCCACCCACTGCACCTCTGGCTTGCACCCCAGTTCTTGTATGCATAAATAAATCAAAATAAATCTTAAGAAAGGAAGAAATTTCAGAAACCATCCACTTACAATTTTACCCAAAAAAGTAAATACCTGGGAATAACCTTAACTATATACATGAAAGACCTATACAAGGAAAACTGCAAAGCACTTTTATTTTTTTAAGTATTTTTTTAATAGAGGCATGTTTTTATTTATTTGTTTGTTTGTTTGTTTGTTTTGTCTATACATGCACTGGGTACAGTCAGAAGCGCGGGAGGGTGAGAGAATTCACCAGAGCCAGAGCGGGGAGCAGAGCAGGCAGAAGGACCGAAGTACACTGCTGAGAGGAGCAGCGGGCGGCAGGAGAGGTCTGCACGCCATGTGGGACCCTCCTCCAGTGGCCGGGGAGCAGCTGGGGATCGAACCCGTGCCGCAGAGGCCGCAGGCAGCTTCTCAACCCAGCGCTCAACCGCTGCGCCACTGGGGAGGCCCTGCAAAGCACTTTTGAAAGAAATGGAAAGCAGAAAGAAATGGAAGGATAGTCCCTGCTCATGGATTGGAAGAATTAGCATTATAAAAATGACCATCCTACCAAAAGCAATTTATAGATTCAATGCAACTCTAATAAAAAGCTTGATCACAGTCTTCAAAGAAACAGAACAAATATTGTTGAAATTCATATGGAACCACATGAAACCCCAAATAGCAAAAGTTCTAACTGAAAGGGGCATTACACCCAGACTTCAAACAATACTACAAGGCCATTATAATAAAAACAGCATGGTGCTGGAACAAAAACAGACACACAGACCAATGGAATAGAATTGAAAGCCCAGAAATAAAGCCACACATATAATGCCAACTAATCTACAACAAAGGAGCAAAGAATATACACTGAAAAAAGGAAAGCTTCTTCAATAAATGATGTTGGGAAAGCTGGATTGCCATATGCAAAACAATGAAACTAGACTACTATTTCACACCATGCACAAAAATCAACTCAAAATGTAGAAAAGACTTGAACATAAGACCTGACGCCATAACATAAATAGAAGAAAACATAGGCAAAACACTCCATGACATACACCTCAGAAATATCTTTTAGAATTATTCTCCAGAAGCAAGGCAAACAGAAAAGATTAACAGCTGGGACTACATTAAACTAAAAAAAAATCTGTGCAGCAAAAGACATAATAATCAAAACAGAGATATCCAACTAAATGGAAGAAAATATTTGCATACCATACCACCCATAAGGAACTGAAATCAAAGATTTATAAAGAATTTACATGACTCAACCAAATCAAAGCAAACAACCCCATCAAAAAATGGGCAGAACTAAAAAGACACTTGTCCAAAGAAGAAGTGCAAATGGTCAACAAGGATATGAAAAAATGTTCAACATCACCAGGTATCAGGGAAATGCAAATCAAAAGCACAAAGAGATCCTTCCTCACTCCAGCAAGAATGGCCCACATTAAAAAAAATAATAATAATGGAAACAACAAATGCTGGATTGGATATGGAGGAGATTCCTCAGAACACTAATAATGAATCTACCATATGATTCAGTGATTCCATTCCTAGGAATCTACCTACGATACAACAAGACTATTCAAAAGGAAACCTGCACTCCTATGTTTATTGCAGTACTATTTATAACAGCCAAGATATGGAAACAACACAAATGCCCCAAAATAGACAAATGGATCAAAAAGTCGTGGTATATTCATACAAGAGAATATTACTCAGCAATCAAAAGACACTCATGCCATTTGAGGCAACATGGATGGAGCTCATTATGTTAGCCGAAATCAGTCAGTAAGAAAAAGATAAATACCAGATGGTCTCACTAATATGTAGAATATAGAGAAACCAAACAAAAGGTCAAGAGAAAGTCAAAACCAGCAAGCTGACCGTAGAACAGTCATACAGCAGAGGAGAGGGACAGAGGGGGTGCAAAACATGGGACATGGGAAGGTTGAACACAGGGAATATGGTGATGGTTCAAGGGTGATATGGTGGCAGGAGAACTATGGAGACTACAATGATGTAAGAAAAAAATTAATTAATAAAAACGATTTTTTAATTCAAAATAACTAATTTGAAAGGAAACATACAATTTTCTAGAACTTGGCTATTGTAAATATAGCTGCATAGGCATGTATGTATCACTTTAGATTTCTGTTTTTGTATTTTCCATGTTGACACTTAGGAGTAGAATCGATGGAGCATATGGAAAATGAATTTTAATATTTTGAGAAACTGCATACAATTTTCCTTTAACTGGACCACTTTGCATCCCCACCAAAGATGTAGAACAGTTCCTTTCTTCCATATCATTGCCATAACTTAATGTTTCTGATGTTTTTGATATGGGCTATTCTCCCAGGTATGAGGTAGTATGTCATTGTGGTTTTAATTATCATTTTCATAATAAGTGTTAGTGAACATTTTTTATGTGTCTGTTGAGCAAATGTATGTTTTCTTTGGAGAAGTTTCTATTTAGCTCAAATGCCCGTTTTTGATTGGATTGTTTGCCATCTGTTGATTTGTATGAGGTCTTTGTCAATCTTGGTTTTTAGCCCTTTGTCAGATGTATTATAGACAAATATTTTCCCCAATTCATAGAGTATCATTTCTTTTTTTTTAACCGTATAGTTTTTATTTTTAATTTTCTTTTTATTTATATATTTTTTACATCATTGCTCATTCTTAAACAATGTTTGCTTCCCCCTCCCCACCCCCAGGTGTAGTCCCCACAGAATTTCCTTCACCAATTCCCCCAGGGCACCATCACCACAGTCCCCTGTGCTCCTACCTCCCTCCTTTTGATCCCTCTCCCTCCTCCTCCCCTGCAGGTTGTGTCATGGAGTCTCTTTTCATTTTAATGATTATTTCTTTCCCTGTGTAGAAGCTATTTAGTTTGATGGAGGCCCATTTGTTTATTTTGGCTATATTTCCCTTGTTTTTGGCTTCCATACCCAAGGCATCACTGAAGCTAAAGTTGTAGAGAGTTTTGTCTACATTTTCTTCTATTTATTCTAAGGTTTTATCAATACCATTTTTGAAGTGATTCTTCTTTCTCCACCATACACTCATGGGGCTCTTTTGTCATATATAAAATATTTCAATAGGTGTGGGTTCATTTCTGGGCTCTCAATTCTATGCCATTTTTTGTTTCTCTATTTTTATTATAATATACTGTCATGATTACAATTGCTTTGTAGTCTAGTCGGAATTCTGGGCAAGTGATACATGAGACAAATTGATAATGTAAGATGTTGCCATGTCTGAATTTAATTCTAAAAGTGATAGGAATCAGTTGGAAATATTGAGCATGGGTGTGTCCTCACTGCACATTTATTTCAAAGTCATTCTGATGGCATTATGGGAAATTACAATAGAGGGAGAAAAGAGAGGAACACAGGGACACAGTGAGGAGTCATTGCACACATAAAACTCTAGAAATGCTTAATAAGAATCAACCTAAAAGTTTGTTTTGACATTTTCATATATTTTTTTCATAAAAAGATTTAATTATCCCTCTTTATATGATATTTTCACTTTTGGAAATAGTTCTCATTCTGAATATTCTAATTTTAAAGTGAAACTCTTCTGTGAAGACCCAATAAAACAAATACTTCATTGCAATGACATTTATTTTGACTCACATGTGTGAATTTTAAAAACTTTTAAGTAATGATATCTTAGGCAAATTAGCTTCCTTCCAATATCTATAAATTTGTGTTTCTCTCCAGGTATAAGGAAAATGTTATCAAATTATCAAGGATACAGCATGATCAGCCAATGAAGCCTCTGGATAGAGCGGCCTTCTGGATTGAGTTTGTCATGCGTAATAAGGGAGCCAAGCACCTGCGGCCAGCCTCCCATGACCTCACCTGGGTCCAGTACCACTCCTTGGATGTGATCGGGTTCCTGCTGGCCTGTGTGGCAACTGCTGTGTATATTATCACAAAATGTTCTCTGTTTTGTTACCAGAAGGTTGTCAAAACCAGAAAGGACAAAAGGGAATAGTTGCTTCTCAGTCCTGAAGCTGGTATGTCTCACACAGGGTTCTCTAGTTTATTCCTGCAAGGAATTGAAGTATAAGTGTCCCTTTTTCCTGTTACGTTTGATTTTTTTCTTCTAATTTCATGTCTCAGACCAAAATTGTTTTTGAGAGATTTATTACCCAATTGAGAGTTAGAGATAAGTCATTCCAAAGAGAAAATAGCTGGAGAAGACTAAAGAAATATAAAAATGTATGAGTTACATTGTACAAAAATGAAAAATGATGTAAAATATATAAAACAAAATTTTTTTATTAAATATTTTATTTCATATAATTCTTACATCTTTTTTCATCTTTGCACAATGTATGCATTTTCATTTTGGTTATAGTCCCCATACAGTTGCACCTCCCCCCTTATTTTGACTCTAGTCCTTCCTTTCCCCTCCCCTCGCACCCCCCCATAAAACAAAATTTAATGAAAATATAAACTCATGCCATTCGCAGCAACATGGATGGAGCTGAAGGGATTATACTCAGTGAAATAAATCAGAAGAAAAAGGTAAATATCGGATGGTTTCACTTACAGGAGGAACATAGGGGAACCAAATAAGGGACCAGGAAAAAATAATAATAAATAAATAAAGTTTCGCAAAAGTCAGTAGCCTTCCTATACACAAACAACAAATCTGAAGAAGAAGAAATCAAAAAAACCATCCCTTTTATTATCGAAACAAAAAAAATCAAATATTTGGGAATAAATCTAACAAAGAGGTAAAGGACCTATACAAAGAAAACTATAAAACACTGTTAAAAGAAATAGAAGAAGACACAAAGAAATGGAAAGACATCCCCTGCTCATGGGTTGGAAGAATAAACATTATTAAAATAGCCATCCTACCAAAAGCAATATACAGATTCAATGCTATTCCAATCAAAATTTCAATGTCATTCTTCAAAGAAATAGAACAATTATTGATGAAATTCATATGGAATCACCAAAAACCCCAACTAGCCAAAGCTCTACTGAAAAAAAAAAGAAGGAAATGGAGGCATCACACTTCCAGACTTCAAACTATACTACAAAGCCATAATCATCAAAACTGCATGGTATTGGAACAAGAACAGACATACAGACCAATGGAATCGAATAGAATATCCAGAAATAAACCCACAGATTTATGGTCAACTAATCTTTGACAAAGGAGCAAAGACTATGCATTGGAGCAAAGAAAGTTTGTTCAATAAATGGTGCTGGGAAAACTGGGTCGCTACATGCAAAAGAATGAAGCTTGACCACTACCTCACACCATACACAAAAATCAACTCAAAATGGATTAAAGAACTAGACATAAGACCTGAAACCATAAAATACATAGAAGGAAATATAGGCGAAACACTACGGGATTTGCACATCAAAGACATCTTTACAGACACATCACCCAAAGCAGTGATAGTGAAGGCGAAGATAAACAGCTGGGACTACATCAAATTAAAGAGCTTCTGCACAGCAAAAGAGACAATAACAAAAACAAAGAGAAACCCCACCAACTGGGAGAACATTTTTGCACCCAACACTAATGATAAAGGACTGATCACAAAAATCTGCAAAGAGCTGATGAGACTCAACAACAACAAAGAAAATAATCCAGTCAAAAAATGGGCAGAAGAGCTAAAAAGAAACTTCTCTGAAGAGGAAATGCAAATGGCCAACAGACATATGAAAAAATGTTCAACATCACTTGTAATCAGGGAAATGCAAATCAAAACTACCATGAGATACCATCTCACACAAGTGAGAATGGCACATATTAAAAAAACTAGCAACAACAAATGTTGGCGAGGGTGTGGAGAAAAAGGAACTCTTCTGCACTGTTGGTGGGAGTGCAAACTGGTCCAACCACTATGGAGAGCTGTGTGGAGATTTCTGGACCTACTAAACATAGAGCTTCCATATGATCCAGCAATTCCACTCCTAGGTATTTACCCAAAGGACACAGAAACATCAATTCCAAAGAACACCTGCACCCCTATGTTTATAGCAGCACTGTTTACAATAGCTAAGCTTTGGAAACAACCCAAATGTCCAAAAATAGATGACTGGATCAAGAAGATGTGGTACATATATACCATGGAATATTACTCAGCATTCAAAAAAGATAAACACATGCAATTTGCAGCAACATGGATGGCTCTGGAAGGGATCATGCTCAGCGAAATAAGCCAGAAAGAAAAAGAAAAATACCGGATGGTCTCACTCATAGCAGGAATCTAGAAAACTTAAATAAGGGACCAGGAAAATGAATATAAGAAAGTGAAAATCAAAATCAACAAAAAATATGAACCAGAGACACTTTTTGGGGGTTGGGGGGCGGGAGGGGAAGGATTGGGGTCAGAATGGGGCGTTTGCAATTGTATGGGGGAATATAAAAATAAAATTTATTGGGGGGCGGAGCAACATGGCAGCGAGGAGACGCTGCCAGTAAGATCTCCCATTAAAAAAAGTGAATAGGGAGGAAAAGCGGCAGGTCCCAGTGAGAACTGGGACACGGAAGATAAATGGGTGACGCCAGCGAACTGCCGGAAGAAGAAAGTGGCCATAAAAGAGGACTAGAAGGGAGGGAAGCGCAGAACCCTGCTCCCCTCCCCCGCCCACAGAGGCGGCACTCTCCAACCAGCAGAGAGGAGGAAACAACAAACCAAAACGGCCCACAAGAACAAACGACGCAGCAAGCGGGACTGTGAGTGGAAAGGAACTATTGCAGCCACCACACCCCGTGAACGGGAGCTGAGGCGAACCCTGCAGGATCCGCCACAGCGGTGAGCGAACGGCTCCGGGCGCCATTAGAGAAGAACAAAGACCCCGGGAGACGCGCACACAGCCCGGGCTGCCGGTAAGCTGGCGCAGAGAGCGGCGCGCTCGGCGGGCTTGAAAAGCAAGTGCAGACCTGGATCGCGGCTGCCCAGGTCCCCACGCCTGCGACCTAGGCTTGCGGGGAGATGACCTAGGCTTGCGGGGAGACGCGCGGAGGTCCTCACTGAGGTGAAGGTCCCTCCCTGAGTGAGCAGGAACCAGGCGCCCAGGCACGGGAGCTGTGCAAAAGGCGCCATTCCCGCGCCACTGAACTGGGCTACAGCCCGCATCCTGGAACTGAGGGCTTTGAACTGAGACCCGGGGCACGAAAATTCGGGGCGTGGGTTCTCCATGACGGTGGGGCACAAGGCAGACACAGCACCCCAAAGCTGTTGAGGTGTACCCTACCATTCCCGCTCAGTTCTCTGTCCCACGGGGTGGGGGGAGGCGAAAAACAGCCCCCCAAGGACAATAGGAGAGATCTCTGGCGCCACCTAGCGACCAGGAAAAAAAAAGTCACTAACACCCTATAAAACAGGACATTTCTTAAGACTGCTTGAAAAGGGCAGAAGGTTTCTGGAGGACCCAGTGGCCAGCCGGGAAGTTATTCCACGCCAGGCCCCTTCCGACCAGCAGTCTGAGCCCACAGAGGGAGCAGGCACCCACGTCCGGGGCAGACCGGGTGCGCAGAAGAGTGTGCCTGAAACCGGAGGTGCAGGGACTGCATCCCGCTTCGCCATTTGAGAACAGGGACATTTCTTCAGTAAAAACTGCCGAAAACCAGCAGAAAGCTCCCCCAGAAGACAGAGATGGCTCCTGGAAGAGCCAGAGGGGAGCGGAGAAGTTCACCCAAGATGTCAGTCAGTCCGAGCAACACAGTGTCCCAACGCATACGACAAATTAGAAAACAGACAGTAGGGAGTAGAAGAACCACACGCCCTAAAAACTCCTCAGGAAGAAGCACACCACAAAAAGAAAACCACTCCCCAGATTGCAACGACAGCAACTTGGAAGAACTTCTGAGCCTTCCAGAAAGAGAATTTAAAATTGCCATGATTAAAAAAGTGATAGATCAGAAGAAGGAAATTGAGTCCCTAAAGAGGGAAGTAAGAGAAATGCAGGAGATCAAAGAATTAATGGAGGAACTAAAGAATTCTGGGAAAAGCAATGAAAGCAGAATAGATGAAATGGAAGAACGAATAAGTAATCTTGAAGACACAGAAATAAAAAGAACCAAAACAGAAAAGGAAAGAGAAGTACGAAGGAAAAAGAATGAAGAAAGACTTCGGGAACTATCTGACTCCATGAGGAAAGGAAATATAAGAGTTATAGGAATTCCAGAAGGAGAGGAGAGAGATGTAGGAACAGAGAAATATTCATGGATATAATTGAAGAGAACTTCCCAAATGAGAAGAAGGAGCTGAAAATTGATATACAAGAAGCAAGAAGAACACCAAACTTCCACGACGAAAGGAAAAACACAGCAAGACACATAATAGTAAAGCTCCCAAGAATCCAGGACAAGGAAAAAATAATGAAGCTGACAAGAGGGAAGAAACAGATAACATTCAAAGGAAAACCAATCAGGCTGACATCAGACTTCTCTGAAGAAACACTACGGGCAAGGAGAGAGTGGAGGGACATAGTCAACAGACTCCAAGAAAACAGATGCCAACCAAGAATACTCTATCCCGCAAAGCTCTCTTTCCTCCAAGAAGAAAGAATATGGACCTTCCCAGACAAAGAGAAACTCCGGAATTTCATTGCGACTAAACCCCCACTCCAAAAAATACTACAAGGAATCCTAAAGCCAGAACCTCAGAGGGACGAATAACAACGAAAGAAGACCAAAAAAAAAAAAAGTTATTAAAAGAATAAATAAATAAAATCAAAGGAAAGACAAACATAATGGCAAATACAGATGCTAACATATCAATATTAACTCTAAATGTAAATGGACTAAACTCTTCAATAAAAAGACACAGAGTTGCAGCCTGGATTAAGAAACAAAACCCAACCTTTTGCTGTCTCCAGGAAACACATTTAGCTACAAAAGATAAAAATAGGCTCAAAGTCAAAGGATGGAAAACAATCCTACAAGCAAATGGCCAAAAAAGAAAGCAGGAACAGCTATACTTATATCAGATAAAACAGACTTCAAACTCAAAAAAATAAAAAGAGACCCCAATGGTCACTACATTATGATCAAGGGGACAATACTTCAAGAAGAAATAACACTCATTA